GATCATCAGAGGTGCTCGGGACCCCACTGTTGCTGAGGATGGCTGTGGTACCTTTTGGGGGAGCTTTGCTTCTTCTGAGCATCACTTCCTGGCTCCAATGCAGATCCCTCAGCCTGCTAGCACAGGTCCTTCATCCTGCTGGCACAGACTTTGTAGATTCCACCACTGACCTTTGGGCCTTTGCAGGCCTGCATGAGACGTTGTCATGGGCTTTGGGCCTCCAATTGCATTAATGGGAGGCATTGTTATGAGCTCTAGGTATTCAGTTGGACTCATGTAGGACATTGTTGCGGGATCCAGGCCCTCAGCTAGATTCCTTGGTCTTAGTGTGTGGACAGATTTCCTGCACTCTTTTGTATATAGTTCTTTGGGTGAGTATTATAAATGATCATATAAAGTATGTGTCCTGTATTATATTGTTCCCCTTGCAAAAATAACCCCCAAACCAACACAGATGGTCAAGGTGCTAGCTCTTCTCCAGACCCCATGCTGGATCACTGTTGTGATTCTTAGCAAATAAATCAGAGCCTACAGATCTCGCTCACTAAATCTATTTTTTAAGGCACCTTCAACTTCTTTTGAGGGGGTAGTTGGAGAAAGGGTCTTGCTCTGTAGTGCAAGCTGGCCTTGAATTCACTATGGAACCAGGCTGGCTTCAAACTCACAGTGATCCTCCTGCCTCAGCCTGCCAAGTGCTAGGATCAACTTCTAAATGCTGTAAAATTGGAATACTCTAGTCGTGGTGCTAGAAAATCTCTACTGAGGAAAATTATTTAGCAGTATAGACAAGTAGATTTTGTTTTAATATACTAGCAAAAAACAATGATAACTATGGAAAATTAAAAGTAAAATGGGGTTTGAGAATAGAGGGATTGCCTTTTCTAGATGCAAACAAAACGAACTAAATAAATGCGATTTTAGCATGGCACCAATAGAGAACTTTTGGGAGGTAATATATAAACCTATAAAGGGCTAGGTAGTAAATATTTTAGTTTATGAGGGTCAAATATCCTCTATTACAGCTATTCAGTTCTATTATGATAGAGGAAAAGCAACCATGGAAGAGGTCCCAAATGAGTGGGCATGGATATATATTAATAAGTTTACTTACAAAATCAAGCAGCTGGCCAGATTTCACCATGGAGAATAATTTGCTCACCTTTAGTGGAAAACATAACTCTATTATCCTTCATTACACTCTTCTGTGTTAGTAAGCACCTTATGAGGCACCTTAGGAGAATTAAACAAGTGACTACTAATCAAATACCTAGATTCTCAACTTACACATCTGTTATGGTTGACACATTGTGTCAACTTGGGGAGTCTAGAGGTTTGGCTAAGTGACTCAGCAGGAAGCCAGGGTGCTTACTTTGTATACATCCTGACCTGTGGAAGAGGAGGACCTGGAGATTATGTGAGAGCTACACACCCCTTAGGTGGGGGTAGCCTGTATACAATGTAAGGAAGGGAAAGAAGCTGCTTGCCGCCATTCTGCCCCTTTGCTCTGGCTGCTTTGCTGTTTGGCTGCCATTCCCCCCTTTGCTCTTGTTGCTTTGCTATCTTCTGCCTCGGAGCCAGCCAAGTATGGACTGAAACCTCCACAGACTGTAAGCTAAATAAACCTTTCCTTCCTTCATTTTGGGCGTTGGGTATTTTGTCTCAGCAAGGAGAGAAAAGTAACCAAGACAACATCACAAAGGCTTTGGAAGTGTTAGTTAATTTTGTAACTATTAATTATTATTTGTTTATCAGAAGTAATTTATCATCAGGATAATTCAAATAATGGTCATTTCTGAGTTCCAGGGCTGGAGTTGTGACTGAATCAGTTAGAGCCTTTTGTTGGGAGCACACAGAATGGCGGGGGCAGAAATGGGGACAGGGATGATCACACACTGATCAACAGATGCTCCTTGGCATCGTCAGTGGGTCGTTCCAGGACTCTCCCCCAACCCCAAGGATACCAAGATCCTCAGACGCTTAAATCCTTGCATCAAATAGCATCATATTTGCATAACCCATGCAATCCTCCCGCAGACTTTGAATAATATCTGGATAACTTGTAATACCTGAAACAGGTAAATGTTATATAAATAGTTATTATATTGTATTTTTAGGGAATAATGATAAAAAGTCTGCATGTTGGGTACAGATGCAGTTTTCAGTTTTGAGATATTTTTGAGCTGTACTCGGTTAAACCTGTGGATGTGGAAAGTGTGCCTGTGGAGGGCTGACTGTGTACATACCCCACGGAGTGTGCAGAGTCCCTGCCACAGAGGACAGGAGAGTCCCAGAAATACGTGATAGAGATATCCAAACAGCGTGGGAGTGCAGACGAAGCTTCCAGAGGAAGTGATAGCCAAACAAAATATGAAAAACCGGCTGGACTTACCCAGCCAAAGTGGATAATGAGGGACACACATTGTGATGAGAAAGGTAAGGTTTAATTAGATAGAGAGAACAGGAGGAACTGAGGATACCTGGAATACTGAGTAGGTGGGACAAGATCAGGAAAGAAGTTAAAAAGGTGGGAAGGACCTCTTGAGCCATGTAAAAGACTTGGGTTGATCCTAATTTGGAAGCTTGAGTAGTTTAAGCAGAGGAGCAACAGGACCAGATTTGTATTTTGCAATGCTGTGTGTGTGTGTGTGTGTGTGTGTGTGTGTGTGTGTGTGTTTGCAGCACTGGAATTGAACTCAGGGCCTAATGCATGCTAGGCAAACACCACCATTAGGTCACATCCCTTGCCCTCATTTTATTTTATGATAATATCCTGCTAAATTTCCCAGAATGTACTCAAACTTGTGATCCTCCTGCTTCAGCCTCCCAAGTGGTTTGGATTATAAGTGTATGCCACCAGGCTTGGCTCAGATCTGTGATTTAGACAAAATACCCAGGCTGCACAAGAAGGACCAGAAGGGGCAAGATGTAAAACACTTTCTACCAAGAGCAGAAAGAAAACATTCAGTAAGGGAGGAATCATGCGGAAGCAGAGGAGAGAGGAGGAGGAAGGGTGCTCAGCCCTGTGAAACTGTCCAGAAGGCTTGAGAAAAACAGCCCTGAAGAAACACCATCAGTGGCCCCTAAGAAAGTGATTGTATTGTAGTGATAAAGATCAGCTGAGGTCAGAAAGCTGGCGGTAACTGGCGATAAATAGGGAGACCCATTTCAAGAGATTTGAAAGAGAAGTAGAACTTGAACAGGAGGTGTGAGTGGAAGTAAACAAGAGAAGAATGCATAAAGGAGACAACTCACAGAAGAGGAGGAGGGGTCAGTCGGTGGAGGGGGACACAGGGGAAGGCGGAGGGGCGGGGCCCCAGCAGAGCCTAGGACCAGCCTTGGCAGGAAAAAGGGCCAGAGACGGGTGAGAATAGGCCTCGCAGCAACAGCAAAATTCCGTGTGTGTGGACAGAGGAGGGTCAAGGAAGATCAGACCTTCAAGGCGAGGGATGGAATAGGATTTCCTGGTTGGCAAGCAGTGGTATAGGGGGCAGGGCCCCAGGGGCAGAGGAAGGGGTCTAGCTCAGAAAGCGCGGAGAACCAGGCGCTGGGACAATATAAGGAGCGGATAAAAGACGACGGAAAGCAGGCCTTGAGGTCCCACGTCAGACTTTGGGAACACAAACACCGCAAGATTCTAACAGCACAATTTGCGACTCTCTCCCCCAGGTAAGGCTTGTCAGCACAGGTGCAGGAAAAGCGGAACAGAGAGTGCGAGGAGCCCAGAGGTGCGGACCGGCTAGGTGGGAATTGCAAAAAAGCCAGTGAGCAGAGGGCCCGAGGTGCTGGAGGCAGCATTGCAGGAGCCGGGCTGAGGAGCCGGCCGTGAAGCCGGCGGCCGGGATAAGGCAGAGAAAGCCCAGCATCAGAGACTGGAACCATGAAACTGGTTTCGCTTTATTTCATGCCACTCACTAGGATGGATTAACTTTCAGAGCTCACTGGGCTGCCATTTTGTGACGTGAGAAAACTAGAGAACCTCACCCCTCACGACGATTTAAGAGAGAAGGTAGCTTCCAGGTGCTGGTTAATTGAAATAGAATTCCCCGTCTGATGACCGGTCCACAAAGGCGCCATTTAAAACCAGCCGGGGGCCGGGGTTGGGGGGGGTGGGGACGGGCGTCCTGTAATGAGCGCCCCAGGCAGAGGCAACACACTGGCCTCCTGGAGCCCTGGGGAGACAGTGCGGCAGGCTGCGCCCTGCAGACCCAGGCGCCGCCGCTGACCTCTTTCGCCCACGCTCGCTATTCCCACCTTGAGCTTCTTAGCCTTCCTACTGCTTTTTTGAGACAGGGTCTCACTATGCAGTTTAGGCTGACCTTGAGCTCACTTTGTAGCCCAGGCTTGTCTTGAACTCTCGAAGATCCTCCTGCCTCAGCCTCCCGAATGCTGAGATTACAGGCGTGTGCCACCTCGCCTGGTTCCCAGTGCTTCTTGAGGTTTTCAAACACCTGAATTTCTGACAGCGCATTTGAAGGAATTAAAAGGCAAACGCTTGTTTTTTAAAGCGGGTTTCAGAAAACTTCCCATCATTATCCTGTTCCTCTTTTGTTTGACTGCTGGCACCAGGTCAGTGCTTGAGAGGTGCTGTCGTGTGCTTCTGGACCATAGCTGGTCTGGGCTCCAGCGCACAGGCCTCTGTGGCCCTGGCTCGATCTCCCCTTTCTGCCTTTCCCTGTCGTGCTGCGAGCTGACCCCTGCCTCACACCAGCCAGCCAGCCTTGCCACGTCAGCCTCTGACACCTGACTGGCCTCCTCCTGACTGCATGAAATCATATTTGCCACGTGGACTCGAACATGTCCGGACAACTGGAACACGCACGCACACACACACACACACACACACACACACAGTGTATAGGCCGACTTGAACCGGAGCTGGTTCCTATCTCGGAAGCAGTGTTACCTAAGGGTTCAGCGTTTCTAGCCTCACGATTTTCACAGAGCACAACCTTTTCCTTCTAGCAGACTGAGTACCCTGCAGGCTGCACTCAGACGCGCTTCCGGGCCGCTCTGCAGCGTCTCGCGAGGTGCTCAGTCACTGCTCATTCATCTTCAGGGAGCCAGGTTTTCCGGACCCCTGACCGCGAGCTTGTCTGACCTCGGTGTTCCTTGCCACCTGGCTACATGGATTTTCTCATTTGATAAAGTGTAGTTTTTCTTCCACACAGCTCTCTACCGTGAGGGCCGCTGGCATTGTACCCGGGGTTGTCTTGTGCCTCTTTAGGCCTCCCCAGCACCTGCAATCCTGGGCCCCGAGGTCCTGAGCAAAGTACCATTTCGTCTCTGCCATGTCTTGTATCTTCCACAAGGGGGCAGCGTCTGATCACGAAGCTTTTCATGTCCTTGCCGGTCGGCTGAAATACAACCAGCGTCACCCTAATGCTTTCATTCTGTTGTAAGAAATGACCTTATTCAAGCTACACTCCTCATTGTTATTTCATGCAGAGGAAGCAACAATGAAAAGGGGAACCATATAATGTTTGTGGACTGTTTCACCATAACTCATGTGCTGGACTTCTATGTTAGGCTGTATGGAATCCATTAAGCAGGATATTGAAGCTTATGAATGGAAACCTCGTAATTCCTCTTTAATAAACATGAGTTAGTTTTATTTCTTAAACTTTATTAGGCACTTACTCAAAACATTACTGAAAAAAATGCTTGTTAATAATATGAATGATGATTTTGATTCTGTTTGCATTATTACTAGGTCTAAAGGCCTCGAAGCCTGGATTATTCATAAAGGCTGGCAAAATGGCAGGCGTTTGAATGTAAATCTTCCTGCCTGGGCTTAATTCCATCTTGACACTTCTCACCAAAGCTTGCGAGGAAGGTAGGGGCGCCCACCACAGTGGCCTTTTTGTGTAGCAGGGAAACTCCGACGTGAGGAGGCTTGCCCAGATCTCACAGCGAGGCTCCCTGTGGGCGGCACTTCCCCAGGCAGAACCGCCACAGAAGGGAGACTAGGCGCAAAGAAATACCATGCAGTGTCCCCGTCAAAGCGAAAGTCAGGCCCGTCTGGTCCTCCTTTGGATGCCCAGATCTCTCCTCCGGTATGCACCCTTTGACTCCTCTCTGAATGCCTTCCTGAAAACCCATGGAGCTGACTCTGCCATATCAAACTGAGGAACTCCAGAATAAAATTCCCACCACAGCCACCCTCCTGCCCAAGGCATCCGTATCTGCTCAGTGGCACCATTTCCCCGGTTTCTGGGGAGAGTGCTAACATCTACCTGTTCTTAAAGCCAGATACCCGGAATCATCCTGACACCTACCTCTCCTCTTTGCAAATTTTAAGTGCAACGGGCAGTCCTCTGTTTCCATATCTAAAATGTATTTTCTGTATTTTGACTTGTTTTTCATTTCACCTTCCATTTTAGTTAAAAAATGCCATCACCTGCAGCCTGGACCACTGCAGGAGATGCTCACAGGGTTCATTTCTAGTTGTGTTTCTTCCCCTGAAAATCTAGCCCTACACAGCAGCCAGGCTGAGCTTTATAGGTCTGACAATGATTTCCATGCTTACACCCCTTGCTGGCTTCTCACTGCACATAGAATAAAATTCCAGCTCCTTATTGGTTCACAGGGCCTGTAAGGTAAGAGACCTTACCTGCCCGCCTTCTCCCACTCCTTGCATCTCTTGACTGCCCTTGGGATGGAGAGCAGACATATTCCCCCACAGCACGGCCTTCTGTTCAGGCTACCCTGCTCCCCCTCAGTAGGTGGGCCCCGATTCCTCTCATATCCTAATTATTTCCTTCCTAACACTTTCATGGCCTGTAATTATTTTTGTTAATTTATTTGTTTCTTCACTTCTTCTCTCTCACCAACTATGTAATCCTGAAACCTGTTTCAATCGGTAAAATCACTGGCCAAAATGGAGGTGTACAAAAAAAAATGACTAATGGATAATACAGTTTTGTTTACAGATCTCTATTCTGTCAGAATAAGAAGTTTAATGAAAGTTGCGATGGCCCCTATCCTCTTCCCTGAGCTTGCACCTAATTTGTAGGGGACAGTGTGTTCTCTGTCCACACTAGCGCCTGCCCAAACATGTGTTGTCCTTCTGGGGCTCTGTCATGGTTCACAAAGCCCACCAGAGACACACCCTCTTCCCAGTCACAGGCCTCCTCCATCCAGCGGTTCTCCGCACTGTTTCTGTTAAGTGCAGTATGCAATATCCTGCAGTTCCTGCGCCATGCTGGGTTCACACAGACGATGCTGTTGGGTGACCCTTGGCCTCAGTCTGACTCTGTGGTCATTCCTACCTGGTGCAGGCTCAGGACCCATCAGTGTCTGCGCGTGTTACCCCTCTCCAGCTCTTCTGCTTTCTCAGTAGGAATTCTCCGTGGGGCAGCCTTTCCTAGGAGGAAGGGGGAGGTGACAGATGGGGGTCTTGCTGTTATCTTTGAGGTTCCTTCCCCAGTTATTTTGCCTGTATCAGTGTGTTTCTGATCGCCTAATGTTTTGAAACTCAAATCAAAAGGAAACTTTTATCTGCTTTCTATTTTTACCCCACTTCCTTGAGCTATGAAATCTAAATTGTCTAATAGGAAAAGTACTTAAAAAGGACATCGCAGCGTGTGTGTGTGTGTGTGTGTGTGTGTGTAAAATAATTTAATGGTTCAAAAATACTACTCCCAAGCAAAGAGAAACCTACAGAATTGGAAAATATTTTTGCCAGCTATTATTCAGATAGAGGAGTAATATCTAGATTATACAAAGAATTCAAAACAATTAGATCACATAAAATAAAAGACCCAGTCAAGAAGTAGGCAAGTAAAATGAACAGACATTTCTCAGAGGAAGAAATACAAATGGCTAACAAACATATGAAAAAATGTTCAACCTCTCTGACCATTAGAAAAATGCAAATATAAAACAATGGTAAGATTCTATCTTACTGCAGAAAGAATGGCAATCATCAAGGAGTCAAGAAACAACAAATTCTAGCATGGCTGTGGTGAGAAAGGAATCCTCCTGCACTGTTGGCAGGAGAGTAAACTAGTATGACCATTATGGAAATCGGTGTGGAGACTTCTCAAAGAACTAAAATCAGAAATTCTGTATGACCCAGAAATCTAGAAATCTCTTTCTAGATTTCCTCCCCAGAGAGCTAAAGACATCGTACTGTAGTGATACATACATACCAATATTTATAGCAGCACGATTCATGGCAACTAAATCTTGGAAGCAGCCTATGTGCCCATCAACAAGCAAATGGATAAAGAGCATGTGGTATCCGCAAATGGATAAAGAGCATGTGGTATCCGCACAAATGGAATACTACTTAGCAATAAAGAAGGACTAATTTAAGACTTTTGTAGGAAAATGGATGCTTGTGGAAAATATAATGTTGAGTGAAATAAATCAGACACACAAACTTAAACAGTGCATGGTATGTCTCATTTGGGTAAGGCAAATTACTATATAAGCAAAGAATATAATAAAGGATGAATAGAAGAAAACAAGGGGATAGATCTCTTGAAAATGGGGAGGGAGCCAGGAGATGGGGTGGGGGGAGAGGAGTCAGTAGAATTAAAATATGCCATGTACAGGACCCTAAATGAATGTAAACATTATATGTCATAAACATAAGTTAAGAATAATAATAAGAAGAATGGAATGAGGGAAAAATGATTTAGAGGCAGAAGGAGGGAGGCAGA